AGATGGGGTGAAAGGCGGTCACCTTGATGTAAACTCTAGTCAGAATACAATTGTGTAGTTGTCTCCCATTCAAAAATAATAGACATAGATGAGATAGTTACACAGTGCATGATCAACTTTATAGTAATGAGAGGAAACATGTGTTGCTTCAAACTGTATTCCAAGAAATCCCAATAAACATGATTATAGACCTTTTCAAGATCTATCTTAAACACCATGTCATATTTTTTCTCTTTATATTTACACATAAAATTAATTTCTTCTTGGAGAATAATGGCATTATCAGTGGTCCCTCTGCCGATATAAAACAATTCTGAAAGGGTCCAACTATTTAATTTAGATAAGGATACAATATGTTAATTATAATCTTTGTAATAAGCTTGTAAATAGTGTTGCATAAGCTAATAGGCCTACATTCCTAAAATTTTGGTGGCATACCACCTTAGGAATTAATGTGATAAGTGTATTTAAAAGTGATGAGTGAAAGCTACTTGTTATAAAAGCATATGATAAAAATTGGAGAACGTCATCTCCAACTATATGCCAAAACTTTTTAAAGAAAATACCTTGGAATCCATCAGGGATAGAAGCCTTGAAAGAGTGCATTTGATTCAACGCATAAGTAATTTCTTCCACCGTCACTTGTTAAGTCAAAAAGTGTTGGGCTTATTCAGTAATGGTTGAAGTCATAGTTGAATAAACCATACTAGCATGGAGTATAAGAGATGTATTGCAGAAAAGACCTTTTAAAAAAGTCAGTGCTTCTTCCCTGAGAGTAGTATTATAATTACACCAAACACCATTGGGAAGATGAATGCCATGGATTTTATTTCTCTGCCACCTAATTACCATCTTGGTATGAAAATTTTAGTGTTACCACCTCCCAAATTAATCTGATTATCTCTAGCCTCTTGATACCAATGAATCTCCTCTTGCACGAGGATCTCATCATAATCCCGTTGAAGCTCCTATTAGAGTTAAATTAGTCTTTCTTAATCTACTCTCTCCAAAGAGCATTGGATACCCTTGTGTCTCTTCTCAATGTTAGGCTTTCGTTTATTTATATAGACAAAAAAAATATTATTAAAAAGGATACAATTATGCTGCATATTTTAGAGATAAGTTACAATGCCATATGGGATTTCCCCTGAGCAATATGGACTATATTGGAGTATTCTAGGTAAGTGATCTAAGTAGCCTCAAACCTAAAAGTATGTGCCTCGTAGTCTTGTAGGGGAAGGCCATACCTAAGGAGAACGAGGTTGTGATCAGAATGAAATTTACACAACACCTCAACCTATGCATCAGGGAAATTCATGCGCCAAGAAACATCAACCAGAGCCATATCCATCTTGCGATAGACTATTAAATTACCAATACAAGGCATATTCCAAGTGAATTTTCCACTTGTCATGTCTACTTCAACTAAATTACATTTATCAATGACATTCAATAAAGCATCTGCTCTATAATGATTAAAAATTACCTCCTTTTTGTTCACTCAGATGAATGATGCCCTTAACATCTCTAATTAGCATCCAAGGAAACCAATAGTGTTTCCTAGGTCAACAAGATGAAGCCATAGGTCAAAATGAGAAGTGTACACGGACTAGCATACATTCTAGTTACATACCAAGAGAAAGTTCCCAATGATAACTTGATAGTAATTGTATCCATAAAGACATCACACACGATAGGTACAATAATACTACCATTCTTCTTTAACATCCAAATGCCCCCAAATTGACCATGCACATCCATGTAGTGAACACTCACATATCCAGCTCCATCCCAGAAATATTTGGCCTTATGAAAACCATTGTGTGTTTCCATAACTGTTAGAAACATTGGAGATTGATTTTCAATCAATTTTATCATGTGTATTTTAGCCTTATTATTAGATGCTCCCCAGATATTCTAGGCGAGATAGTAACTTATTTGAAACCTAACATAACTAGTCAAGCTCATGGAGGTAACAAAGTAAGTCCCAGACACAAGATAATTCATGTAGTCGGATCCCTTTCAATGGGACTTCCGTGAACAACTTCCTCTTTTTGAGTAGCACTCTCATACATAGCACATTGTTTATTTCTACCTTCCTGACTTACTGTCAGTTTAAATGCGGAATGTTGTATCGTGTGATGGTCTCCAAATCCATTTTTACTATGGGAATGATGGACGTGTATTTAGCAGTATTGTGCACACCCTTTTATGTTTGACATGAATTAAAAGTTGGCACAACTTTGTGTGAAGGCCCACTAAGAGCAAGATGTGGTTCAACAATTGCATACTAGGCCTTGGCGCATGGGTCCCCTGCTGTTGGCTAACATGTGTCTGGTGTGGGTTCACTCTTGTCAAATCGCAGTTTCTTGGAAACCGCATCATGTTGTCTAGGTTCAACAGTTTTCTGTCAGCTCTTATTCCTTCTAAAGAAACATCAATCTCTTCATTTTATAACTCCCCGGATCTCTAGGCGCATCATTGGATAAAGATTTCCCTTTACAATAACTGACTTTTTTGTTGCATTTTTTTCCTCTGCACCACCAGCCAGTTAGCATAAACTACATTTGCTTCTCCAAATTCTTTTGCTATAATTTTGGTACTATCATCGCCACTTCTTGATGCAATTACGTTCGTCTTGGCTTATGGACAATATCATTTTATAGCAGGCTTCTTGGTTGTGCCTCTGTAGGAATAACTAACTGTGTTAAATTATCTGGTATTTTCTTGCAATCACGGGTGGGATGTCCATAATAGCCACAACTGGAGTAAATAATCTAAAGACCTTCATACTACACATTATACAAATGACCATTAACATTGAACTTTCCGACAATCGATAAGGTCAGATCATTTTCCATATATATTCTCGCAAACTTCCCATTTCTACATTCATGGTGTTAGTATCTACCTTAACAGTAGTACCTACAACTAACGTCAAACCAAGAAGGACACTTTCGTCATAATACAATAAGTTAGGCCTGGGAAATTAAATCTAAACCAGAGTCTTCTCCACTTTTGCGAGAGGAGATACAAAGTCTGGAGTCCATCGAGCCACTGCCAAATAGTGGTCAAACAACATCCACGGGCCTTCTGACACAATTTTCTCACTGTTTGCGAGCAGTTCGCCTTGACCATAAAGAAACCATTATCAACGTCCATTCATTCAAAACCTCAGACAAGTTTCCACATCTTCTTCAACCTATTCTTCATCAAATGATAGCCCACGTTCTTTCGAAAGAGTTTATTGACTAACGTCTCCTTCCAATAATTGCATAGTTCTTGGAAAATATTCTCATCATCGTGATCTTTGGTAGCAATTTGTTTTCTCCTTCAAGAGAGACTTTTATAAATTCTTTTTCAACCAGGCCCACTATCTCCTTCATAGTAGTGGCTCCTTGATACTACTCCTTGACCTTTAGTGAGAATATCCCAGGACGGCGGTCTAGGAGACTTAAATGCACCTTCATCTGATGGTTTGACCAACGACGTGAAAGTGGCGAGAACAAAGGGCTCTATGTAAAAAAAATTCCTTTCTTTTCTCTAACTAATTCTCTTATGAAAATTGTCTATTGTTAAGAAAACATGAAATAAGAAAGACAAGAATAAATCTCAATCGTTCATTATCACCACTCTCTCATAATTCATATTAAAAAGGAAAATAAATTTAAAATAAAATTCTGCTCTAAAATAATGACGTGTCCATTTTTGTCTTTCTTCTCTTTTTTTTTTTTTTTTAAATTGTTGATTTATAAATATCAACATGATTACATTTTAAAAGAAAATACAAATAAATGTCGTTGTCAGAACTTGAGCCCTGGACCGACAACCCCTTAACCCACCTAACTATTGTCAATTGAACTGCCCTATCCCGTATTATACCTATTACTTGCTATTTACATTTCTATTTTATTGTTAGTTGTTTTCTAATAGAAATTTAAATTCAACTCAATTTTAAATGAAATTAACTTTTATCACCGTATAAGATTTGTTGGTGAAAGTTAATTAAACTACACTAAAATTAACATTCAACTCAATTTTAAATAAAATTAACTTTGAATAAGATTTTAATTTTTAAGTCAATTTTACATTCAACTCAATTTTAAATAAAATTAACTTTTATCACCGTATAAGAAACCTTTACCAAAAAATACAATGCATTGCATTAGATAGAACAAACAATTAAATCATTTTTTTTAGTAAAAGTCAAAAAAAAGAGTTATTAACATTCAAATAGGTTTTACTAAAATTAGTAAAAAGAAAAATAGAGACATTATCGTAACTTGTTGAACATAAATACCTATACATCAGCATGACTCAGACCATAAAAATGGCAAAAAAAGATAAGCACTAGCCACAACATCATAAATAATAAATATTAATAACAAATTAACTAAAAATTTGAATTTCTATATAGATTAATTAAAAAATTCAAACAAAAAAAAACTTGGCCAATTATATTAAGACTAATTCAATAATAATCAACATGATCCACTAAAAATTCGATAATTAGTTACACTTAGTAATTAACTAAGTTACTTAAGATCCAAATTAATAGCTAAGTATAGTACTATTTAACTTAACTCGTGTTACAAGTTAGTTACTCAACTCATAGTTGTAACAAATATATATATAACAAGATTAACATAAGCATAAGCAGCAAGAATCTCTCTTATATTGTTTCAAGAGCAACAATAAAAAGTGTTGTTGTTTAGATTGAAACTAGTGTTATCAAATAGTTTGAACCATAAATGACAAAAAGTTTATGTTGTTTTTCTGAAATTCTATTGTCTTTTGTAATTGTTGATTTTCCTTCACCAGAGCAATCTGGCACTATTTCTGAAGAATTCACTTTATCTGTCACTAAATTTCGCAAAAGGTTTGTTTTCTTCGTTCTATGAAGCTCATTCGAGTGTGATTGTATTTTATACTGACAGTGTATATGAATTAAATCGACTGTGTAACTTAGTGTTTAAGTTTTTGTATGTATGTGTTTGTAGATGGAGCCCGTTGCCCCAAACACTGCCAATTCTATCGATATCGAAGTAGTCGATGTGACAAGAGAAAATGATAACAATGGAGAAGTTGCAGAAGGGAAGATTAAAGGAGGATGGAAAACTGCATATATCTTGCTAGGTATTCTAAACTAATCATTGTTATAATTTTTTTGAAAACTCGGTATTTGGCTCTAGGACCGAGTAATTGAATTGAGTGAATGAATGCAGTGAATCAAGCATTGGCGACATTAGCATTCTTTGGAGTCGGAGTTAATTTGGTTTTGTTCTTAACAAGAGTTCTTCGTCAAGACAGCGCCGATGCTGCGAATGCGGTTAGCATGTGGACCGGAACCGTTTACATATTTTCACTCTTGGGAGCATTTTTGAGTGATTCTTATTGGGGCAGATACTTAACTTGCACTATTTTTCAGCTCTTCTTTGTTCTGGTATGCTTCTATAGTTCAATTTGCGATGTTTTTAATAATGCTATATGAATCAATGACGCATCGATATCAGTAATAATTGAAAGTAATCATAAGTATGGGTGTTTCCAAAGTTAGGATTTTTAGTTGTTTCTTGTTCTTCAAGAAATAAGATACATGTGTGGAAATTGAAGATATATGTGCTTAAATTGATGCAGGGTTTGGGGCTATTATCATTGACATCTTGGCTGTTCTTGATCAAACCAATTGGTTGTGGAGACGAACATACGATATGCATGGAACCGACTTCGTGGGGAGTACGCCTGTTCTATATGTCGATATATATGGTTGCTTTCGGATATGGTGGACATCAACCTACCTTAGCGACGTTTGGAGCGGATCAATTTGATGATAAGACTATTAAAAACAATAACTCTAGAGAAGCTTTCTTTAGTTACTTTTACTTTGCACTCAATGTTGGATCACTCTTTTCCAATACTGTTTTGGTTTATTACGAGGATTCGGGTATGTGGACGATGGGTTTCGGTGTCTCGTTAGTGTCTGCTGTTGTAGCCTTGATTTCGTTTTTAGCCGGACACCGAAGATATAGATATGTTCAAGCGTGTGGGAATCCGATCATAAGGGTGATTCAAGTATTTGTCGCTACTGCGAGGAAGTGGAAGGTTCGGCCAGCCAAGGGCGGTCAACTTTACGAGGTTGATGGCTTTGAATCCGCCATCAAAGGAAGCAGAAAGATCAAGTACACCAAGGAGTTCAGGTACTTTATGTTATTGTTATTGTTATTGTCGGTGTATGATCATTAAACCCTTATACGATATGTGATCGCGTGTTGAATTGAGCAGATTCATGGACAAGGCAGCGACCCTTACGAAACAAGGGAGTGAACCTGAGAATCCATGGCGGCTTTGCACGGTAACTCAAGTTGAAGAAGCCAAATGCGTGTTGAGAATGATTCCAGTTTGGCTCTGCACAATTATTTACTCGGTTGTATTCACACAAATGGCGTCTCTTTTCGTCGAACAAGGCGACGTGATGAACAACGAGATAGGAAAGTTTCATTTGCCAGCAGCTACAATGTCGGTGTTCGATATATTCAGTGTCCTTTTATGCACGGGACTTTACCGCAACATCCTTGTTCCCTTGGCCGGAAAGTTAAGTGGTAATCCCAAGGGATTATCAGAGCTTCAAAGAATGGGAGTTGGCCTAATCATCGGAATGTTAGCGATGTTTGCAGCAGGCGTAACGGAGTTTGAACGGCTTAGACGAGTCACGCCCGGAGAGAAAGCTAGTTCCTTGAGTATCTTCTGTCAAATTCCGCAATATGTTCTTGTTGGTGCTTCCGAAGTTTTCATGTATGTTGGTCAATTGGAGTTTTTCAACGGACAAGCCCCCGATGGTATAAAGAGCTTTGGGAGTTCACTTTGCATGGCTTCCATTTCTTTTGGAAACTACTTTAGTAGCATAATGGTGAAGTTGGTGATGGTGATGACCGCACGAGACGGAGAACCGGGATGGATACCAAATAACTTAAATGTAGGACACATGGACAGGTTCTTCTTCCTCATCGGAGCACTAACTGCTCTTGATCTTGTCCTCTACGTGTTCTGCGCTCGGTGGTACAAGGGCTACGAGGTGGACGAAACTGAGGATATCGAAAGGCTAGAGGACAACGAGACGATCAATAGAGTTTGATAATCATGAGACAATTAATCGAGTTTGATTGATTGAGAGAAGAAAGCTTAAGATGTTAAAACACTTAAGGTCGTCGATGAGATTAATTTACATTTTGTTTATTTTTCTTCCTAAATTAGAATAAGAATATGTACATTGTTGAAACATTTATATTATCCAACATTCTATATTTCATCGAAATCGTAACTCCTAAATGAAGAGTCAATGATATATTACATCAAAATGGCATGCATTTTCTTTGCGGTCCATATTACATCAACTAGTCCATGAAGAATCGGAGCAATATCTTGTGCCATAATCTTCAAAAGTGTTCGGCATTCTACAAACAATTTACAAGATATTAAACAACATAATATAATTTTTGTTCAATCGTCGCATTATAAGTGTCACGTTCAAAATCGGCAATATTTTTATCACAAATAAATGATGAAGGTGTCGAACCTGATATTTTACTGAAGTTAAACAATGACATAGATGCGAGAGTTTTGAGGTCGAGTTCGCCATTTTGTAGGATTCCTTTCAGTTGAGAAATGACGGCTAAGAAGGCGGGAAGATGCAATCCGGCGTTATATTGTTTAGAAAGTGAGGAACTCAACCATGTGACAGTTATTAGACAAGTCCTCACCAAATCTACATGTTTAGATTCTAAACATCTAGATATGGTTTTCAAAAATGGACTTTCTCCATCACCAATCAATGATTCTAACATGTTTATCATGAACTCTTCTTTCCTTTCTTCTTCCTCATCTTCCTGCGATTTTAATTAAAACGTTATCCGTTTAGTTACATCAAGTGAGTGACGAAGCACTCATGCCAGAAATATTACATCAAGATCTATGAAGCACTGACATAGACACTGAACACTGACACATCAACACCAGTAATAATTTGAGAAAATGAATTAATTGATAGCAATCATATGTTTCACGCTTTTGATCATAAGTGTTTGTGCTTCATATATTTGGACTCTTAGTTGTTTCTTGTTCTTCAAGAAACAAGATAATTCGAACTAACTATTAATAAAGAAAGCTTACTGATGAAATGGTTACATCTAACTGTTGATCCTCTTCATCATAGCTAGGAGATTTCAATTCCGAGCTACCATTTTTATAACCAGCTTGCTTTAAGATGGTGGTATCGGTAATTATCTTTCCGGTGGAAGAAAAATGGCCACACAAGATTAAAAGAGCTTTGCAACACTTGTTTTGGACCTTCTCGTCATTTAAGCTTGCATCAAGTGTCTCTGCAATGGCATTCACAGCCGTTTCAATGTATATGCCTAACTTTTGAGGCTCAACCTGCATCGCAAACATGTTAGAGATTGAATTACATTCACTTTTTAAGTTTTTTCGAATGAAAAGTGACTTAAAATACGGAAAACGTAAACATTTAATACATGAGGTTTGATAATGAAGTTCGGTCAATTGTGCCTACCAGGAGATCAAAGTGTAATAAGAGAACTGCAACGAAAGGCTTTTGAATTGGAGAACAGTTCTTGAGATACATGAGCACAATATGCATTGTACTATATACATCTTCACCCACCAAGCCACTTAGGAAATAAGTAACATCTTTTCTCCTACAAAATAACTAGTCTAGTTAATAATATTTCAAAGAATAGTGTTATCAATCGCAGATAGTTGAAAACAGCATGTTCAAATTTTGCTACGTTGCGTTATTAGTTACTTCCTAATATACTTTGTCATTGATGAATAATAGTTTTACACTGTCATCTAATGAAAACTCGTGTTATACATCATAAGTTCATTTTGAAACCACAACTAAGTAATCGCAAAACGGTGCATTCTTATTATACGTAGTTTACAATGACGGTGCATGTTCCGTTTTCTATTCAAAAAATAAGCAAAATAACTTTTCAAATAAATCGATCAATAGTTTACACTAGGCTAGTTTCTCTATTTGTAGAAAAAATTGAAATTTGATAAGCCTCACCTCTTCATCGATAAAAGTTCAGTAAGGAAAACTATTGCATTTGTTGTTGGAGTAACCATCTTGCTATGAAGAAGCTCGAGAAGAATTTTTCTGTCGACGCTTCTTGCTATCTTATATACGCAACTAGAATCTGCTTGAATACAATTTAACAAAATCTCGAGCACATGTGATTTTTCTTCGATGTTTCCAAGTTCAAACCTCTTGAAAAGAAACGAAAAAACTCCTAAAGAGATTATATGCTTAGCATAAGTTGATTTTTCCTCTTCTTTCAAGGAAGCGAAAAGACTTTGTAACTTGAAAACGATAGCCTCGTAGCGCTTTTTCATCTGAAGTTCCTTTGAATTTTCCACCGTTTGAGAGGCGAAATCAAGAAGACGGTCGAAATCTTCTGTCTTCCAGTTATCGATCAATCGCTTCAAAATAAGGTTGGTAAATGGCATGAACACGCATTCTAAAGAATTTCCTGTCACGGGACATGTTCGGTTCCCCTTTTGAAACCATGCCTTGATAGCTTTTCGTTCGAAGGTTTGGCCTGACTCTAAGGTGACAGGTTCCTCGAAGATCTTTCGTGTCAAAGGACAAATAAATTCCTGCGGAATGCTTGGAAAATAAGATCCTACACCAAAATATTTATGTAAAACTCATTATCAATCGGCTAGAAAATTGATACATTATCGAAGAAAACTACATAATCCAACATATTTTTCTTACCTTCAAGATTAGAGCTTATCGTATTCGGCTGCATCTTTCTGAAGTCATGAATTGGAACACTTGGAGGTAAATCTTCAGCACTTTGATCAATAAACTTAACAGTTTCGGATTCGTATATTAACGTTTTCTTAACGACGGTTGAACCATAAGAGCCTCTCTCACAATTTTCAAAACTATCTTCATCCTTATCATCTCCTTCAACTTCATAAACTTCAGGTTTCCCATATCCGCCAAAGAACGAATCATATAGTTTCTTGCTTACCATCGCCTGTGGCGAGAATGGCTCAAATGAATGACCGAACGAGCTCGCCTGTCATTACAGATGAATTCGGTTAGTTATCTTGTTATAGAAGTTATCAATAAATGAGATATTTTAGTAGTACCTGTCGACTCGTAATTGATAGTGATGGAATTCCAATAGAAGGAATAGTTGGAGTTTCGACTCCTTCACTGAGCCAATCTTTGTAATATAAAGCAAAAACTCGAGTTCCTGAATCCAGATTTTCGTTATACACTTTTTGAAGAATCTTTAGCTTTCGCGCTTTGGTTTGCATATCCGCAACGATTTCACCTTCTTTGCTATTATACCATTTCTTCAAATGAGAAAGATTTGGTGAAAATAGATGCTCCCAAAGTTCAGGCAACAATATCGTCCGCGCCTGAAAAGACGAATCACAAAAGACTTGCAAAAGATGCTTTGCGGAAACTTTCTTTTTTCTTTGCATCAAATATACCACACTGAGGTAAAGATGAGCACAGGCTGATAACTTGAAATTCGGAATCCCGCACGTAAAATCGTATTTGAGATCATTCAAACTCAAACCTGTGATAATACTAAGCTGCATTGTTGCTCTTTTCAGATGTATTGCAGATATGGATTCGTCTTTCTCAGCCGTTTTCTCTACGCACTCAATAGCTTGCTCGAGACTCGTAATCACTTTGGTCTCGGACTTGTTTTCTTCCTTCTCGAGATGAATCAAGTTCAAGGAGGAGAAACAATTGTGGCGTAATGTGGACCGAAAATCTTCGTCTTTTAGAAAACTTTCTATGTATCCATTCAGAATTGAAACTAGTGCTTTCACAGCAATTTCATCAATAGCAAGAGTAGAAGAATCTTGCGAATTCGTAGCTTGATTCTCACTCTTTCTATTTCCACTCAACTGTCTTAGCATATATGAACTCTTCAACGGCTTTTCCACGATTTTTTCCTTCTTGTCTTTGCCTCTTTTCGCATTAGACACTTGATTTGAATAAACATCTTCGAATCCACTATCACTCTCTGATGAATCGTGAGGCTCGTTCTTCTCAGTTTCACCGTTCTTTAATCGTTCATGACTTATCTTGTTTTGGATAAAAACATTACTATTATCCTTTGATCTTGTGTTCTTACTATCATTGGTGTTGCTGATTTGATACCTTGAGGCTGTTTTCGACTTTGTTTTCTGTGTTTTGATTCGTTCGCTCGATGATACACATTGTCTCTCTTCCAAGGAATGAAGTGGATCACTTGAAGCACCATGGTGGAAAGAAGATCTTGACTTTAGCACTCTTTTGCTACTTCCTTTGAAACCTTCCTTTGCAAGAAGCTCCTGCAATGATGAAGCCATTTATATTGATCTCCCCAGTAATCAATCTGAATTGTAAGTCCTCCTGCAAGCAAAGATTTGAAAATATGATACACAGACACCAGACACAATAGTGATACAAAGAACAAACATCCGACAATATAATACACAAACTAGGAAGAACTAACATCAGACAATATGATACACAAACACCAGACACAATACTAATACGAAGACACTTGTAATAATTTAAGATGGGTTATGTGTATGATAATAAAACCATTTTTCAATATCGGTACCATACATAGTCACATTTTGTTAAAAAATAACCCTAGTTCAAAAGAAAACAGATATGAAAAACACAACAAAGAACACAAGATATTTGACTACGCAGTTCGACCAATTGTGCCTATGTCTACAATTATAGAGTTATTGCACTATCTTTCTATTATTCAAACTTAGTGTTACATATTAGAACAACAACTAATAACAAAAGAGAAATTGAAACGTAAATCAGAAACAACGAACACGATATTTATTTGAGTATGTATAAATCTAAAAGAGAGGAAATGATACTATACCTTAAGCTTTGTCAACAAAACATGTCCAAAGTGAATGGAACTAATAACAGCACAAGACAGAAAGAAAATGGAAGTTTTTGGTTTGGTTTTGAAAGAAATGAAGAATGATGGAGGTGATGATTGGTGAAAGAACATTATATAATATAATAAAATAGAGTTGGTTGGTTGGTTAATGATGATGATGAAACAAAGGAAGAAACATAAAATAGAGTGAAGAAAAAAACAACAACTGGCAACAAAGGAATGAGGATGAGTTCATTTGACAAATAAGTGATAGAAAACAGTTGTGATACTGACACATATGAATGTTTCAAAGACGGTTGACAACGTTTTTTTTTGGTTTTTTGTATTTGCAGGCCATGTTGATTTGGAATATAATACTTGTACATGTTTTGTATCAAGGTCGCATTTCATTGTCACAATATCAATGTGAAGAATGATTCTCTTCACGGTAATTCTGACCATTAACGTTGATAACAAGTATATCTAAACACCAATATTTTTAAGAGTAGGTGTGTCGTTGTATTCGTTATGTATGGTTGTAGACTGTTCTAATATATGTGAATAGAAATATATATAAAAATTATAAAATTTTATGTTAATATCTGTCTCTAAAATTCTGCACAAAAAAATGAAACGGAATTAGTCAATAATATTAGAGCCTGCGGGCTAAAAACATTAGTTTGTTTCCTGCAAAAATACGGGTAAAATGAACATGTCTGTGCTAAAATAATATATTGCAAACTATCTTCAACTGTCACATTTCACTTTCTGGTCCCACCAAACGAGTTTTATAATCCAGTGGCAGTGGATTTATTCTTTGACATGTTTCTAAATGCCATTGCCACATGGAAATGTGAAAAATTAAATAAAATCAAACTCTAAGAAAACAATGTCAAAATAATGGCATAGTTAAATGTTTAAGTACATAGAGTAAAATACAAAAAGAAATGTTTGATGCATTCTCAATGTCTCACTTGTTGGAATATACTACTATGACAGTAATGTGAAATTGGACACCGCATTATTATTATTATTATTATTATTATTACAATAAACTTAGTTTTTTTTTATAACAAAAACACTTAAAACCTCAAAAGTAAAAATATCTATTTAGAAAATTTCAATGAATCTTTCTACTTTGAATGTCATTTAATTTTGATCCCCTTTTGTGTTTTTTTGTTAAAAAGATAGTGATGAGAAGTTGAGTTAAAATTTATAGATATTTATCAGTTGCGGCTCAAATAAATGTTGGGACATTTTGCTCTTATTTTGATTCCTTTTAAAATATGAAATAAAACTACACTTACTAAAAAAAATCTATGAGAATGTGTTAGAAGGTTTATTTCAGAAAATATTTAAATTATAGAAGATTCTTTTAGTAGTGGATCTAAACGGATATGTATGGAACGTAATAAGAGATTTTTAAGGAGATAAATACCTAGGATAAATATATCATAGATTTTTGAACCGACTTTTAATCTTAATATAGCTATTACATGTTTAAGAAAAAAGATGCACTTCCTTGCGTTGGAAACTTCCTTTTTTTTTTCACCCTTCAAATACAAGTGCTTGAGCTCTTAGCCCCCGTGTGACTTGAACTTTTTATTCTCCTCTACATTTTTACATCTATAATAAATATTCTATGTTAGGCTTTCAAACTCTTTTCTAAAATATAACTTTAAAGATCCCAAAAAAAAAAATCTATAAGAGAACATGTCTCTTCCACTCTTGAAAGAGAATTCAAAAAGATACAATGAAATATATATATATATATATATATATATATATATATATATATATATATATATATATATATATATATATATATATATATATATATATATATATATATATATATATATATATATATATATATATATATATATATATATATATATATATATATATATATATATATATATTGTTCTGGACTGGTCCCATGATTAGAAATAGTCCAATTCGTTTCTGTCCTTAGCATGATCTAATGACAACGGCCCGACACACTGGTCAACCACGACGTTTGTCATCCGACCAGTTATGCCCGACAGACACGCCTAATTAGATCAGCAGATATCTCTCGTCGGCCCGACACGAGTCAGGAAAACACCTAGGAAATGATCAAAACTGTCATCTGTCAGTAATCCTCCTCCTCGGAATAAACGACTACTTACAAGCATACCTGTCCGTTTTGACCCAGTCCTGGCAGTTATCTATTTTTATGGGGCCACATATCTAGGCCCTAAAATAGGAACAAATGGCTACGCGCCATGGAAACATTATATAAACCCTCACACATATGAGGGCCAGGTATTCACTATTTCACACCGTAAACCCTAATATTCTGCTTGTATCTCTTTGCTCCCACACTTACTTGATTGTCGGAGTGCCTTGCAGGTACAACCTATTTTTCTCCTCAAATTTCCAATCAATCAAAGATCATCCTTCGATCCACATGCAGGTTCTGATCAATAGGTAAGATCAGTGGCACCGTCTGTGGGAAACTATCTTCCCCGTTTTCTGTCCCCGAAATTTGAAAACCAAAGATCCTTTTCATTAATCAAACATGGTTGGCCATGATGATCATCATCTATGTGAAAAGATTGTGCTCTCTCTGGCACACAAGACCGACGAAATCCAAGAGCATCCTCATCTCGAGGATGACTTCAATGTCCGAGACGGGCACACTGCATCCTCAGATTCGATCGACGCTGAACGCGACAACGAGCAGTTCTTGGAAGGACAACACCCCAAGAACCCTATCGAAGATCTTTCAGAGATTCTGCAATTGGTCCCCATTCCTCAGAACACTGACCCGACCATAGTAGCACTAATCGCTACCATTAACTAGACCAACTCCCTCATCCTCCAACAGATCAAAAGGATAGTGACTTGGGAGCATAAACACTCAAGACCTCCTCCTTGGAGACACCGACGATATGATTATTAGAACAAGATTTGGTTCTTCAACTTTATATCTAAGTTTTGATGATAACAAATGAGTATGTTTGTATGAATAATTTCAGTGCTCTAATGTTTGTTATTTTGAGTATTTAACAAACATGTTCTGCTTCTGATGAAAGGCACTGCCAAGACATTATAAGAGAATAAGTTCCGCTTCTAAGCTACACAAGTTCTGATGAATAGTAGCAAAAGCTTCAGAAGACTCTGATACTTATCTAAGAAACCAAGTTCTGAAGATCTGAAGACAGAAGTTCTAACTGAAGTTCAGATGCTGAAGACTTATGTTTCTGAAGACAAAGGATTCTCAAGACCAAGTGTTGAAGATTATGATAGATGAAGTTCTGAAGATTCCGAAGACTTGAAGTTCTGGTGACCCGAGTTTTACAAAGGGTTCTAAAGACCAAGTGCTAAAGATTCTGAAGACGCAGTTTTGAAGACTCTGAAGACTTAAAGTTCTAAAGACCCAAGTGTTATTCTCATTCTTCCAACGCATTCTCAGAAGCCTTTGACGTTAGAAGAAAAAGAGGATAAGATTACGTGGTACAAAAAATACATGGTACAAACAAAATGTTTCATTCCACTACCATGAAGAATGAACGTTGCGTACGATCTTGTCTCCCACGTGATTGCTCAAGCTTCCAGCTTTCTAGAAATTCCAGAAATACCCTTCAACAGTTATAATATTTTGTTGGCTATATAAAGACTTGAATACTATGGGAGAAAGCTGCTAATTCACGCCAATTCACGTTGATACACTTTCTATTAAGACTGTTCATACGCTTTCATATTTCTCTAGTCTATGTTCTAAAATTACTGTTTACATATCCGCTTATGTAGAAGCCTAATTTCTTGTAAACAAACTTTATTCAAACAGTTGTTTGATTTTCCTTAAGGGACCAGTTGGTCAGAATCCTTGAGAAGTCTAAGATTAGTGTGTTTTAGAGGTTGTAACGTTAGTCACTTGCAATTAGTTTGTGCATTGTAATAATTTGTTTGATTATTGGGTTAAGTTCTTGTTGAGAAAGACAAAATCATCTTGGTGGGTGGACTAGACTAGCTTGATAGTTTTCAAGTGAACTAGTATAAGCATAACTTGTTCTTTCCTTCTTGCATCTTATCACTATTATCAATAAGTGAAGTAACTTATTTATGATTAAAGGGGATTTTAAAAGGAAAAGTTTTTGGTTTAAAACCCAATTAAACCCCCCCCCCCTTCATGTGTTTTTCACACCTTTAACGACCCCCCAATATATCACCACATAGGCATGGCCGTCCACCAACAAGAGAGAATCACAACGTTTCTTTCCGCAAGAAACGGGACCGCACGTCTCCCAAGAAATACCAAGGCTCTCGTATTCCAAGAAGGCCAAGAGCGACCACAGGGTCGATCATGGCCGATCACCGTCGCCCGAACCAAGACAGCAGCGCGGGAGCCCTTCCCCTCGACAAGACGACGATGCCCGGCGGAGAGAAACCATCAATCCCCGCCATCGTCCC